GTAGCACTGTTACTGTGCTTAGGAATCTCCCCGTACATTTTGCTGTAGGTTTGGAGAAGGGAGTGATGACTCCCCACTATACCTTGCTTGCTTCATTGGCCAGAGTTGGCATAAGCTTTTACCCACACGCTTTTTAATAGTGAGGGGAAAAAATGCCAGCTTGAGGAAAGTTGTTTTTTCTCCAGTGGGATGCACCAAAGCCTTTCTCATCCTGTACAACTGTAGGCATTGTAAGGACTAGAGCTGTTATTTTTATCGTTTGGAGTTAAATAAAATGCCATCACATTCAATAAGACATCAGCTCACATAACTTAGATACTCTACACATACTGCAATTTTCTCAGACATACAGTCTAAAGCTTCCAGAGATCAGACTATAAAGCCTGTATTTAAATCACTGCTGAATGCAGACTCACCTGGAGATTTTGCATATGAGGCATGAAAGCAGGAGAAATTAATCAAAGCGTATGAAGCCAGGAAGAAATTGGAGATGATGGGAGCAATGGTATTCAGTTCAGCTGCAAGACACATACACAAGTCATACAGAGGCACCAGTTTCCTGGACTGTTGGCTAGCTGTTTCCTGATGATGCATTAGATCTGAACATCATCTGCATTTATCATCCATGGAGAGTTTGGGTATTTTCCTGCCTTACTAAGGCCACCTTGATCTACCTTCATCCATATGAATTATGCCTGCTAATCCTGATTTTAATAACATTATGTGCTATGCAGTGTTATACTTGATACTGTGATTCAGCATAGTGTCTTTTAATTATGTAGATCTGATGTAAAGTTCAGAATTTTAAATACATAATTGACAGGATGGATGCATTAAAAAAAATATTTGTAGTTAGTTGCAACTTAGTGGGAATCTGAACTCTCTACTAGACATCCTATTTAGTAGTGTAAGACAGGTTGAATTTCTAATCTAGGAAAAACTGATTTAACAGTCCCTGCACTCCTAAATGTGGTACCTGGGATTTTCTTTCACTATTGCTGGTAAACTAGGATTTGCTTTGGAGCTGATGGTGGGAAAGACTTGGTCAGAATAGGCTTCCTAATTATCTCCAAATTACCTCAGAGTTATGTGCAATATAAAATGGAAAACCATTTTCAAAGATTGTGACTTATCTGATAGAGTTCTAAGCACTGCCCTCTTCCAGCAGAGTGAACAGGAATAGGAGCTACTCCACATCTTGGAAAATGAGGCGGTGGTGGTGGTGGTAAGTCACTGGAATCACTGCTGGTTTCTTTTTGCTTTCATTAGGAATAATGCAGTTGCTACCAGGACTTGGAGTATGCTTATGTCAGAGCTTACCCAACTGGAAATTTTTCAAACCGCAGCTCCTAATTGTATTATAGTATCAGTTTGTATAATTTCAGAACATGACACTATAGTAGCTGTGTAGCATTATACAAACCAATCAAAATGAATGCCATGGCAATCACGAAAGTGAGGACATATCCCCTGATAGGCTCGTTATTTTTTCCGTATCCTTTGGCAAAGAATTCTAGCCCTTTGTAGACGTTGTCCTTGCAAAGAGCCTGGTAAGAAAATCAGCACATAATTCTATTAAGCAGCACTTTCTTGTACCAGAAGTCACTGTCTGTGAGTGGCAGCTTGCTAGGCTTTTGCTAAACAAAAGTCTGTCTTTAGTGCTTCAAGTACATCAACTGCTGTGGCAACATTTAAAAAAGGTGATAACACAATATGCTACTATGTTATTATGTCATGGGAAATGAAATTACAGACATGTAATACTTATTCAGTGCTTTAAAATAAAAAGGTAATTAAATAGCTAAATAGAATCTAGATTGGGAGAAGTTGAAGCATAAATCAGTGGCTTGATGTAATTTGTACAGGTTATCTCTCCCATGCCTTCTGCTCCCAGTCTGTCCACACTGCTGCTGCCCAGACAGCTTCTGGACAGCCTCTTAAGAGCACACCTGCCAGCACCTGAATCTTATGGACCTGAGGGTTCCTGCTGCTCTTGTGCTTACAGGGTGGCTTTTTGTAAGATAGAAGTGATCCTGAAAGTACCCTTGAAGCTATTTATGACAGGCACATGAGTATCCCCTGCTTCAGCAGCAAAGCTGAGCTCTGACCAAAGGAACATTTTCACCCTTTTGTGATGATAAGACCTGTCTTTTTCTGCTGAAAAACATTCTACATATTGCTTTCTCTGTCTCTTCCTGCCACATGTGTCAGTGTTGTTTAAATATACATTACATTTGGCACACAAAGTTCAACTTTGTCTCTGGAGTAAAACCAAGTATAAGGAAATGGATAGTTTAATTTTACCTGGAAAACTTTGGGTGCGCTGACAAGAGATGCTAGAGCTGATGACAGAGTAGCTGAGAAGATGCCAGCTGTGATGAGAGGACCAAAGCCAGACACCATGCTCATCACCTTTAGGAAAAAAATGAAGGTAAAAAGAATAGGCTTGCATTTGGATGCACTTTCTAATGACAAATCCATCTAAGTGCTCTATGTGTCTCTGCTTTTCATGGTTCTAAATTTAATCTGCTACAAACAGTACTATTATTTCTGATTTAGTTAAAAGGAATGGAGGCAAAGCCAAACTTTTATTCAAATATGCAGCTGTCTGCTGGGGCAGATGAGTACTCTGTGAGATTTCCTCACTGCCTTTGCTAACTGATTGCTATATGTAAAAACCTCTACTTGATGAGTAAATAGTCAGCTTATGGACAAGAAAATGGCAGCAAAAAGCACCGATGTATTAAATGTGGTTGGAGGCACTTTATTTTCTTTGTTTGTTTTTTTCCCCTTGATTATTTAATATGGCTAAAAATGAGAGAAAATGCCTGGTGGTGCTGATGTAACTGCAGTGCTGCAAACAGTAATGATGGTCACTGTCAGGCCTCCCTCAGCCCTCCCAGGAGTGCTGGACTGGCCTCTGTGACCACTGAAGTGAAAGGGTTGTTGAGAAGCACCTGACAAGGAGACTAAAAGATGGATGGATGTGATTGGTGGTGTGTGGGCAGTACTTCAGGAAAGAAACCAGTGAATCCTGAAGATTTGTCAGATGCAGTCATACTGTTTTCTAGCTCTAGCCTGGCAGGAGTAAATGCAAGAAGTGAAAGTTTGGCTGGCTGTAGGGAGGTCATGATTTTAAGGAGTGCCCTGAGTGTGTGCAGCTGAACTGAGGTGGGAGTAAAGATGGTAAATTATCAAGGAAAGAAGGGAAAGTAGTCTATGAAAGGGACAGCATACCCCTTTCAAGGTGGTTACCCAGCCCTGTCATTTAGCTGAGCCAGCTGGGAATAAAGCGAGTGACTTTAAAAGCTACAAATGACTTGTTGAAAAGCATGTGCAGGTGGGTGGTGAATTCTTCTCGCTGGCCATGAAGCACAGGGGCTGAACAGAGATCTGGGACCTGTGGTTGTCAGGCTGCAGAACTGCTTTACTTTGATGCTTAGCCTAAGCTGTATTTTGAAGAATAAAAATGGCAGAGAGGCTCTCTCTGGCCTAGGAGAAAGACTCCATTACTTCTCACTTGATTTTTCACTCTACTATTTTTAGATACTTTTTTTTAAGAAGTCAGGACTCTGGTTTTTGTACTGTGACACAACCCTTTTACTGTGGCCACAGCACCCCTGAGGTAAAATCACAACCATGTGTCAAGAGCAGTGAGGTGAGTTCCTCATCTAACAAGAGTTCCTGAGGTCCCTGTTAAGTCTGGGCTTTCAGTTTGAAGATGTTACAACATATACTGCTGCATGGTACTTGTTAAAAGAGGAGATAAAGGCCTTACCAGAGTGTTAGTAAGGCTAGTGATGGGCAGTGTAAAGGTAAATGTGCAATGCAGGGGTTTTTTGCCTTTCATCATTCCTTCCATCATAGTTTACTTTTTTAGATAAAATTGGTTGTCCTGTTGTAGTTGTCTGCAAATAATGGTCGTACTTACTGCATGTTTGTACTTATGTATTCATGTATAGCTTATTATGCTAATATATGCTAATACATATTATCTCACTAAAACCTGAAAATTATTCATCAGCCCATAATCACATGGCTGACTTGCACATCTGGAAAAATCATAGCCTAGGCCACAGGCAGATGATCCATTGCAGCTCATTCCAGGTACAATTGTATCATTTACGTTCCCAGTAGCATCTCGTACAACACAGGAGGCTGTGGAAACAATGATATATTTTTATTTTTCTTCCTTGTGACATTGAAAGAATGTTCTTACCACATTTTGACTCATAAACTGCACACTTTTTGTACAACTGGTGCCCTTAGACTTATCCCAAGGAGCAACATTTCATGTTGGGCAGGGATTGCCTCCCCGTATTGTGACTGAGTTTCTCACAGTCCTTGTAAAGAAATCTTTGCGTCTGTTACTTTTAAAATAATCAGCCACTTAACTCATATTCCTGAGATTAGAGACCCAGACAGAGATCAACAATCAATTGACTAAATCAGAAGTCTTTTGTTTTCCTGTTATCACTTCTAAAAGTGCCAGTATTCAGAGCAAACAGATCAGTGAGGCTTTTAGGTCTAGCCATACCCTTTTTCTGTTTAACAAGGGCACAAAATTACTTTAGAGACCAGATCCTCAGCTGTTCAGGTTGTCATAGCCCTGCTGACACCAATATGATGAGAAAAACTTTGAACAGGAAAAGTTACCTATATTATTTTTGTGTTTATTAATATTTATGTTGGTTTTTATTTTTCTTATGTCCTAGGGTGACTTTATGATGCTGGTATCCCAAATCATCTGTTCTGTTTATGCTGGATATTAAGTTCTACACCTTTAAGACTGGTTCCAAGAGCAAAGGGAGGGAAAAAAGTGCGCAGTTTGTGTTCAGAAATGGCACTCCTCCATGTTCTGCTCTGGACTGTGTTGTCTGCAGCACAGACAGACTGTGGGACAGAGCTCTCCTTTGCATTTTAGTTAGGTCTTTTTTTTTCAGCTAGCTGAGGCAGAGAAGTTCCCCAGGCTGTGGCTTTTCTTTTTCTTGGATCTTTTTAAACCTGCTCTGGACTGAAAACCCAGGCAAACACTGGGAGCTCACCCCTGGGGCCCGCCAGGCCCAGGATGTGGCAGTTTCTGGTGCAGAAGGGACTGGTAAGAGACTGAGAGAGCTGAGCTATACCCCACAAAAAGGACTTTCTGAATTTGCCATCTCTTCAGAACAGCAAGAGGTTTGATTGTTTAATATTATTTATTTGTTATGCTTGTGAATACTGTGCTTGTTAAATAAGAAAGTTTTTCCATTTTTCTCCACAGAAATCTTTTCTGGAACCAGCTGGGAGAGGGGCCACTTAAATCTGCTTTCTGGAGGGACCCCTTTGGAAGTTTCCTCAAAAATTTGCCCTAAACCACAAGAAGTGAGAAGAAACTTAGGGAGTGTTGATCTCAATATTTTTAGTGGCCAAAATGTAAATTTATATGATGTCTTCAAATTTGTCAAAAACAATAAGAGTCCCAAAATATCCACTGGCTATTTAGGAAACTAACATGCAAACATGGGGGAAAAAAATAAAAATAAGTATTACACCAAAAAATGCACAGCTCTGAAGCTGAAGTACAGCTACTGCTTGTGAGAGCAGAGCAATGTTCTCAAATTAGTACACCAACAATTTATAATATAAAGTGAATTTATAAAAGAAAGTGAAGAATGTCTACTTAAATTTTAATTGCAGGGGGAAATTTGATCCAAATAACGCAATGTCCTGAGCTGAGGCTTGAGTCAAGTATTCTGCCTTATGCATTAAGTCCAAGAACCACAGAAGTTAAAGACTTGAGAGACGTCTCCCAGAAAAGTGAGTTCTCTGCAGGGCTTTCTTGTGCTATTGTGGTATTTGATCATAAGAAAGAGTGTTGCTTACAACCCTCTTTCTTACAATACTATTAAATACAAATGGAAAATTATTTTTCTTGTCCAGAGATTTATTGCTTGTAATGAGAATTTTACTGCATAATCCTCCAACACAGTTCATGGCATCAGTACAGGCCTCCTTTTCACTCATGCTCATTTTGTTACCTCACATTCCACTACTGTAGAACATGTAGTTATGTAGTTTTTTTGAGACAGGCAACTGATTTCTGTCTTTGACGTGTAATGTACAAAATGTGTTACCGTGCTCCTGTGATTCTCATGAGTGTTCAGTAAGAAGACACAGAAGCCATGTGAAATTTCAATGGGAAGCAGGAACAAAAGATCAACAGATTGATCAGAGGTTCCTTGGATCTTTATTATGCTTGTGTATACTATATGCTGGTGATCTTTGTCACTGAATCTTATGCAAAAATGGGGACTTTTGTTTCCATTGATTGCTGCTTTTATTAAACAACTGTTTTGGCATACAGTAAAATCAAAACTACTGTGTCTCTACATAATAAATCCATGACATGAAAAAGCAGTGAGGCTAATCATTCATTTGCATGCCAAGTTTTCAAACTTAACTGTACAAAAGAGGACATGAAGCAGAGGTTCTGTACTTACCTGCACATATTGCAACAGCAATGTAAGCAATTGTGGTGATCAGAATGGCCAGCATTGTTCCCTGGGGTATGGCACTTTGTGGGTCCTTAAACAAAGCAGTGACAGGGAAACATTGTGAGTTTGTGTGCTGCAGCCTGATTGCATTTGCATGCTGGGAGTTCTACTACACTGTGGTATGAAGATACCCTAGAGAGCAGATTTTTATCACTCTGACCTGCGCCAGCATTTCTGGTACCAGCAGGCAGACACAGAAATGCTTCTGTGGTGCAGCACTCCTACCCTGCACATAGTGAAGGATATTCTGCAGGAGCAGAGCTCACATTTATAGCAACAGAAGGGTCCTGAGGTCTGCACTTCTTGAACTCCAAACTCTCTTTACATTGCATTTGGCTTTATTTTAATGTTTAATGATGTAGTGGGTAAATAGTTACTGAACCATCAGACTCTTGTGGATGACAAGATGGGACCATTTTTGGTTAATTGGTAAGATTGATATAGTCACCCTGTACAGAATACAGTACTTCTGTGCTTTGCCAGTAATTGTTAGCTGGGTCTTCACAACAGCTTTCTTACACTGTATTGACTTAATTTAGATAATTTAATGAGGCTGGGTTATAATGCTTACAGATTGGCCCACAACGGTATAATCTTTGATAATGCAATTGTAAATAAGAGTCGAAAGATCTGTACTGTACATTTTAGAAGGATTTTTAATGCTAGATAACCTTACAATTGTAAGGGTGTGTTTGTTTATGCTAGGAAGAATTTTTTATGAATTTTCTTCTTATGTTGGTTTAGCCTGTTTTTTTAAGTCAAAGATTTGCTGAATGGATTTTAAGTCACAGACTTTTTTGTAACTATGCTTGTTGCAGGGTAAAAAACCAAAATACAAATTTGGAGTTTATTGTGAAGCATGCATGAATTGCTTAACTGGATTAGTAATTAATATAATTTTTTAAATGAGGTAAGGATTTATTGAGCTGGAAAATAATTGTGGAGTCACTTTTGCTGCAACTGCAACCTCTGCCTTTGCACTCAGACTACAGTAACTTTATGCAGTTCTGATGTTCATGTTTTAGGTCATTGTTTTTGTGGAATCTTGTGGTTATCTTAAGCTCTGTAATATTACATCTTAAGGTTAAATCTTCTTACAGCTCAACAACTTTTCTGTTTTACGTTTTTAAAATTTAAACCCATATTTACTATGCTGTTAGCAGTTTAGGGGCTAAACCCCACTGAAGTCAGTAGGACGTCACTAGGAAGCTGTCCCTATAAGTAGGCTCTGGAGTAGGACACAACTTGAATGTGTAGTGGCTGCAGGAGCACAGACAAAGGTATTTGTAACAAATTCTAAAGAAAGTTCAATTTTACTGTAAAGTTTACAGTGTTTGAACACTCCTTAGCTTGTCTTTTAGATTCTGGAGAGGCTGGTTAATTTAATCAGACTTGTCTAATGCATCTAAACATGCTCAGTGGGGAATCTGCTGCCTGGAGGACTTGTTTACAGAAGTCCACTTATTGTGAGACTGAGACGACTGCAGAGATCCAACGGGAGAACTGCTTCCCTAGGTCTGCTCGCATTGTTTCAAGCAGCTGATGAAAGAAGTGCTGCTGCACTGGGAGTCTGCCATGCAGACAGAGCACCATATATGGCAAAAGAATTATTTTTGTTCGATAAAAGGATGGAGATTGTGTGAGGCTGGTGCAGTCTCACTGGGCAGAAGTACAATGGTTTTTGTTTTTTTAATTAAAAATGGAATCTCATTGACGCTATCAGTGGCTCAGTTTCCACGTATTTTCTCTGTGCTTGGCTTGTAAAGCAGTCCTCTGAAAACAAAGGGGCTGAGGCATGCAGCTCAGGGTGAGGAAGGGAAAGAAAATTGGCTCTCTGGGGTGGTAGGATCTGGTGAACTTGTGACTTCTGTGCCAGTACAGAAATAGTAGACCTTTAGTTGAATCCTTTAAGGTCTTCAAGGCAATGGATTTATAGGATAAGGCCAAATAACTTTATCTGACATGCTGGGGTTATCAAGCTGTGAGCCATGTCTTGTTGGTGAGGTTTTTTTTCTTTATTTATTTTGGTTGTTTTTTGAGTGTTTTTATCATGAAAACTGGAGGGCACTCAAAACTGATTTCTGTAATTTACCTGTATGTTTAGATACCGGAAATTTCATCCCCTATAACTGCTAAACTGCAAGAGGAGAATGGGGAACTGACAGAATGGCCACAGCATGACAACTGGGCACCCTTGGACCTCCTTTCCCTTTCTCTTCAGACTCTGGTTTGTTTTTTTGTCACAGCTGCGAGCTTGCAGCTTTTTCTTTGAGCAGCAGTACTGACATGGGATTGGAACATACTTGCTTTCATTAAATGCACTGTTTGCTCTGCCCTTACTATGACCCTGAATACAAAAAGCTGGTCTCCACTGATTCTTGTGAGTACAAACACGAGCTTTCCAGGTATGCTTTTTGGGACAATGGTTGGATTGATGTTTACAAAAGATGAGCTCCAAGAGATACACACGTAATTTCTCTTATAACATGTGCTGCTAATGGACCATTAATGATATATTATTATAGGTTATTGAAATATGCTTTTAAAAGATATAGCAACCCAAATCTAGCTAAAGTAATTTCTGTAAATACCCATAGTGCATTATGAGAGAATTTGTATGTATTTAAATAATAAGGCAGGTACTTAAAAGAGAGAGCTTTGCTTCCCAAATTAAGACATGATTTTGAACTGACTACAGTATTGATTCATTATTTGTTTTCTTGCTATTTTTTCCAACCTATGGCTAATATTATGAAGTTTATGAAATACATACTTTCAGATCTCCTGAGATATTGGCTCCTGCAAGAATGCCAGTGGCAGCTGGGAAAAAAATGGCAAACACCGAAAAAAATCCTTCTCCACTTCTGAAATCTGGTCCAAAGTTTTCTGCAAATATTGATGCTGCAAATATAAGTGAGAATGAAATGTAACAACAGGATTTGATTCCAAAGTTACTTAATGAAGGAGGTGAATAAGCCAGTCTTTCACATCTGGACACCTGGGTTTGAATCTGTCTCACATCACAAGCAAAGTGAATTTGATTTCCTTAGTTTGCTCCCCAGAAGGATGTGCTTGTCTGCATCTCAGAGCTATAGATCCATGTTGGAGTGACAGAAGTGTCACTGCAGCACTTGCTCTTAGCTGTGTGTTAAAAGTTTGTCTGTGCTCCACTGACGTATAAATTACTCAAGCTGCATCTTACTGTGGTGTCAGCTGCAGCAGCAGAGACAGACTCAAAATTAGAGATTAAATCCATTCCCTTTTTTTGCAAGCTCACTTAAACTTGGGCAGAAGATTCTGATCTTGTGATCTTTTTCAGTGGAATTCTTAGCTTACTATTAAGTCAAAAGAATGCAAACATAATTTTATGATAGGCAGAAGGTTGCTTACCTTGGTAATTAAAAAAGCCTCTCGCCTTCTTTTCAGTGTTGGTAGGAATGACTGTCCCAATAAAGAAGTTTGCAATGGCAACAAGGAGAACAATTAGAAGAATAACTTGAGCCTGTTAATAGAAACAAAAAGGTTCTCCTGTTGTTTTTAACTCTGTTGCTGTGGAGATAGCTATATAGTAAGTCATCTGTATCTGTTCCCTATAACAGGTTATTAATTTATATAGTTTTTGAAAATATCAGGAGTCAAGATAGCTGAATCAGCTAATGACTACAGCAGATGCTTTTTACTAAGGGATTAATGAAATATAGTTATAATTTAATTTTAGGTTAGCTTCCTTACAAGAAAAGGCAAAATGAAACAGCTAATGCATTAGTATTAAGTAGTGTGAAGTACAAGACATTTTTATATTGTTATAAATTTATTTTAGTTGCAGGGGGTTGTCACTTCAAAGGTTATAATATCAAATTATTTTCTGATCTCTTTTACAATTTGTTCTAGTCTCCATCACAGCAAAAACAAGGGTGCTGTTGAATCTGTTTTCTGGACCTGATTTCGATAACTTCATTCCACTCTCTAAAGTATTTCCATTTGAATTTACATTCTGACCTTTTTTACAGGTGAAGGAATAGCAGAAATCGTTAGAGATTAAGGAATGGGTAACAAATAGAGCTCTTCTGCTGAGAAGGGCTTGAGAGAGTACAGTGATAAAACCATATATTGTTTTTGCTACTGTTTATTCTATCAAACTGCATCAAAAATAAGGGCAAAATGGGCACATAGCCAAAGCTCTAAATGATGCCATGAATTGTAAAAATGTATAACCAAGTTGTCTGCAAAACCCAAACTTCTTTGCTTTTAAATGTATGTTCAAGGAAGAGTTTAGAGTAATTGTGCTTTCATTGAATGTAATGATTAAACTGTTACTGCTTTTAGAAAGATTAAGCATAAACTGAAACTGAGTGCTTTTGCAAATTCTATCTGTTGAATAGCATTCCTCACACACTAATGCTTTACAGCAGGTTAATATACTGCTTGCTTTTATATTCTTTTAAAAGTTTACCTTTGCTTCCCATTCCATGCCAGCAACAGAGATGCCGAGGAGACACACCACGGTGATGGTCCCTATGATTCTGATGTCGTTGGACTCGTCCACCATCAGTGTATCGCTCTCCTGAAAGTGGTTAGAAATGCTGTGAGAACCAGTCTTTCTCTGCCCAACTGGTGGGATCAAGTAACAAGGTGAGATAGAAAGCAGTGAGCTGTCAAAGTGTCAGAGATATATGAGACCAAGTGTTTGTATGTCATATTCCAGCTGGCTTCTTGCAGTTGCAGTTGCAGTTGGGGTTATTTTGCTGTCTGTTCCTATTCTGATTTTGAGAGTCTTGTCAAGAAATGTATTACATATATTCAAAAGGTAGAGATAATGAAAAAGCACTTTGCAGCATGTTTAGACAGACCAGCTTCTTCTCTGCTAAAGATGCCCCTCAAGTCTTAACTAAAACATATCACTACTTTATTCAAATACATTATGTAAAACAAACACCACCATCACCACCCCCCCCAAAAAAAATAAAAGCCATGCAAAACAAAATAGAAGCAATTTCATCACATACATGAAATATCTATATTTACCTTAAGAAGTTCTACAACTGTTTCAGCAAATCCAACTACATACATGGCAACTGCCACTGCATTCGCAAAGGCAAAGATAAGTCCTATAGATCCACCAAACTCCGGGCCCAGGCTTCTTGAGATAAGATAGTATGCTCCACCTGCAGACAGAAATTATTGTTATTTCAGCACATCAAAACACTCAGCTTTTGCTTTTTTTTTTCTCCCCACATAACTGGTAGTGGAGAAATCTGTGCTTTTAATCTCACAAATATAATCAATCTTTGCCCTGCATTAATAGAGGACACTGCAAAAAAAGCAATGTGCTTTATACTGGTTCTGCCTTCAGATTTTTGGTATGCCTTTCTATTCCAGCAATCTTTTTAATGCATATTAGCATGCAAAAGTGGACCTTGTTATAATTTTTCATGATGCATGATACAGTAACACAAAGGAGAGAGAACTTCCAAAAATGTTCTAACTTACATGGATCTCTCCCAATGTTAACATGAAAGGTCACATTCTGTGGTACGTAAGTTCCTGCATCATAGTAATGCAGTGAATCTTTAATGTTTTCTGCATTAAATCTATACATATTTCAATTTGCTTTTGATCCACTGGGAGCAATCACTGCAAATATAGATATTCTTTCTTTGCTTATAACACCGTTATCTCAAACCCATTTATTTTTCTAATTCAAATCTGCAGATTTTTGTATTTTTCGTGAGATCGTATTCACTTACCTCCTCTTACTACTCCATTAGTGCAAATGGCAGACATGGAGATACCTGTCAATGTTGTTACTACTACACTCAGAGCAATAACTATGATTCCAAGACCTGAAAGATCCGAAAAAGAAAGCATATGCAAGTGTATTCCAGTACCTGTTGTGCTTTAGTGACGTAGTAAGAACTTTCCATTTTCCACAGGGCTTAGACCAGACCAGTTATAACTTAAAAGCTCTGAAACGCACCAAAACTTTGTATCACAAAATACCTGTCATGGACTTTTGCAGCCAAATGGTTTACCCGTCTTCCAAGGAGGGGCTGAAATGTAAGGAGTGTTAAAAAGTAGGCATTAAACTGAAGATATCCGCTAATCTGCATCAGTCTTCAAAATGACAGGAAGAGATGTCTCAGTTTGTTGAAGAATGTCCAACCTGGAATGCTCTGAATAGGAAAGACTGGCTGAAAGGTAAAAAAACTCCATGAAAAGCCAGAACTATCCCTTGCTCAGCAGTTGGCAGGAACATCTGAAATGTACTTTTCAGACTGAACTGAAATCCGTGGCTTATTAGAAGTGACAGCTCAAACATGCCTTAAATTGTGATGAGAGGTGGCTAGAATTGTTACCTTCCAATTCCATTAGACGTGCCCTTTGGTTTATGGTCCCTCTGGTTCGTCTCATACGAAAATAATACCTAAATACCTTTTGGGGCTTGAAAGCATTAGTAACCCTAAGATTTTTACCTCCACGGACAAACCCATTAGTTGCTATTGCAGAAGTTGACAACCCAGTAATTGAGGTTACCATCGTGGCCAGAAGAATTATGATTACTCCAAGACCTGTTAGTAATAAGAAGATAAAATATTTTACTCATGTTCCATGTTTCCTACAAATCATTCTTTCTTTAAATTGAATTTTCAGGCCAGAATCAGAGCAATAAACTGAAAAGATGGTTTGTTCACCACTTGCAGCTTGCAGAACATTTTCATGAAGTCCATGTCACGATAGTAAATTATTCCCATAAGTCTTCAAGCAGTGATTCTTTCTGATAGGAGTACCCTGCCCAGGAATTCTTATGATTTCCAAAGGATGGAGGAAATAAACAAACAGGCATGCCTTGACATGGATGCTTATATCTACCTTTAGCACACATGGCTGTTTAAATAAAGAAATAGACACATTAACCAGAGCTCTTGTAACAATGCTGTTTCTTTCATCAGTTGATTAAATGTTGAATCAGAGGAAGACTGACTGTATAGATTCATAATGCATGAGGACAAAGAGCCTGTCAGGCAGAGGGACAAGACCTGACTGGGAGCCTTCTACATCCTCACTTGCTAAACTATCAAGTGCTGGGCTTTCCCACCCTCTGCCCATTGGCCTCTGTCCCTGCAAAGAAAGTAGTTTTACTCTAACACAAAACAAACACTTGAAAATGGAAATACTGCTCTTCAGATGCCATTTACTTTGACAGGTGACCTGTAATGTATAGTCACAGAGAACTTAGAATTTTTCTTTTATTTAGCTCATATCACAATGATAATCAAATACCAGAATATCAGTGATAGGTGATTAGTTATACATAACTGGGTTTCAGTGTAAGACTGAAATCTGAGATTATTTCCAATATGGCTGGGTTTCTGTTAACTTTGAAACTGCTAGAAACTACATGAACAGGATGTACTTTGTTTGATTTAGAATCATAGAAGCACTGGTTTGAAGTGACTTCTGAAGGTCTGTAGCTCAACCTCCCATAGCAGAACTACTGCCAACACAGGATTAACTCAGTGATGACCTTGGCTCGCTGGCTCTTGAAAACCTCTGTGGATGAAGATCCCACAGCCTCTTTGGATTACATGTTCTAGGGCTAGACTGCCTTCCCAAAAAAAAAAAAAAAGCTTTTGTTTGTGTACAAACTGCACCTCCCAAGGTACAATTGCAGCTACTGCTGTTACATTTCTGGCACTACCTAGAGGAGTTTGTAGTTCCAGATCTCCTTTTTTATTTCAAGTCGGGTGAAGAAATAATATATTTTCTCTCAACTTTTTTGCTTTTATTCTCATTTCTATCTATGAGAAGGAAGAGAGAAAACCAGGAGAAAAAAATAAAGAATTACAGTTTGGTGCCAAGCCTGGAATCAGTTCTTAGTTTCATCTGAACTTGCTAAGGCTTATGCAGTATCTGCCTTGTTTCTGTAGGGTACAATAGGCATTCCATAGGTTCAATAAGCATTCAGTGTGGAGAATATGCATTGCTTGTAGCTGCATTATTGATCAGAGCTCATCCAAATTGAAACTTAGATCCTACAATTGACATTGAGCTAGAAGTACCATAGACTTATTGATTTATCTGCTGTATTTCTACCATCTGACTTATAGATCAGATTCCTGAGTTCAGTTCATACTGGATGGTTATAGACATCCACTCCCTGAATTAATGTTCTTTGCTGCTTAAATTATAGCCAAGTTATCACAATCCTTTAAGTTAGAACAATGTAATGTGTGAGCCATAAATGATATATAACATAGTATAGGATATTTAAAGTGAATTGAGCCTCTAATAAATCACGTTAACCTTACTGATTTCTGAACTCTTACTATAACCAGTCATGCAAGTGTTTTATGTGCAGATCTGTATAAAAAAAATCCAAATGGTCATTCTTTTTGGTCAGCCACTATTACATAGAAGCATATTGTTCGACCATGCAAATTTTGTGTCTGAGAAGTGCCTGGATATGACTTTAAGAGCTGTTAACTCTTAAACTGAGTAAAGAGTTTAAGAGAAACTCTTACTTAAGAGTTTCTTAAGTAAAGAACTTCAGAATTCTTAAGTTCTCAAAGCAGTTTTGAAATTATTTGCTAAGTGTACATGCATCCTAAGGATACTTTTCAAGGATGTTCTATTGCATTTCTCAATTCATATTGTTAAAATGTATATGATATATAGGGTCAGATATTTTGCTAATCTGATAGTAGCATCTTCATGGGAAGGCTTTAATCAAAATTTAAAATAGAATATTTTAGCATTTAAGAAGAAAAGTGCATAAAATGAAGTGTCTCAAGCAAAACATCATTGCAATGTAACATAATTTTAATATTTGGAACCAGATTTGCAGGTAACATAAACTTGGTGCTTTTCTCTGTCTAACCATTCCATGTAGAGGTACAAATACAGATTTCAGAGAGTCCCCAGATATTAGCAGACTAGTTTTGGACCTGGAATCTTGTCAGAACCATACTGTCCCTTTTTTCCTAGCTGACGATAGCCCGAGATCCTTGTGGAATCCTATTTTTTTCCCCTGTAAGAGCTTTTGCCCAAGATAGCCTATCAGGGTGTGGAAGTAATTGGGTTGTCTCTCTTTGGCCATCTAATGATGGGGATGTAAATGGTGCCCAGATGGTGGTTTAACAGTCTCATTTAATTTCCATGTTAGCAGCAGTACCCAGTGAAATCCCTGAGCCCTGGTGATGATGAGCTTCTATCACTGTTCTCCTTAAGCAGCTTGGATGGGGACTTAAAGCTTATTGCTTATAAGGTATTCCAAAAATGCATTGAGAAATGATTCAAATGGAATTTGACGTCTCATTTTAAAAAGTAAAAGTGTAACATATAACACTTGCATAACACATGCAATTTAAAAAAGCAACAGCAGAGCAATAAACCATAAGAAAGAAGAGCCTGCTTATCAACGAGTTAAAATGGTAAAATTAAAAATGAAAGCAGAAAGGTTGTAACTGATGTTGGTGTAAATTAATGTTAAAATCTGATTAAAGTTTAGATTGAAAACCAGGCATATGGCCCCTAAGTAAGTTGTTCCAAAATGAATTACTCTTGCCTATGGCTATTCTCACACCTCAAAACAAAGTAATACTTCTTGATGATCTCAATAAGTTACTAAACTGCCCTTAAAAACTAATTTTGCATGAAACCCCAGAGCAAAGTCTTGGCAATATTAAGATGCAGAATTTTCATGGCAAGGCATATAGTTATGAGTGCCCTGGGCTGTATGTGCTCATTTGGTATGCATCATAAAGTCAGAAAGCACCCTTTTGTCAGGCACAGTGCTGGAGCCATGCATGGAGCACTGCAGAAGTAGTAAAGTTCTTCCGCTTAGTTCTGGATATTTTATTGTTGGTTGGTTTTTCTTTTCCCATTTGTGTCTCTGTAAGTTTGTGATTTTTTTCTTAGTAAGCATTTAATTTGTTATCTTTTTATTAAAAGGTCAGTCTTGCTCAAGTGAAACTTCTAAGAATGTACTGCTTTTTATTGGAAATGAGACTTCAACCGTGCAAAATTTTGGTGATTTTCCTTTCACTTCCATTGACAAGGATGTGAATGATAGTTATATTCAATCTGATTTTGAGCAGTGACTTTCATCCAAGCCCAGCAGAGCTGACACCCCTCAATATAACTGAATATTTCCATTCTGTGATTATCCAAACTGGACTACTTGCCATCCTGCCTTTGCTGTTTTTTGTAACATCTGTGTGCCAGTCAAAAATCAGGGTCCCATTGCTCTAATTGTATGATGATGGATCACAGAGGGATACTGCCATGGCAGCTCAGGTTTCTGTGCTTCCCCAGAGCAGGAGCCCTAAAAAGAGCCCCAGCTCTGGGACATTGCACTCGCTGAGCTGCTCTTACTGTGCTGGAGACTTGCAGTGATGGGAGCACTTCCCTCTCTCACTGGTTCCACTGAACACTCTGCAGTATTCTGGATGGAGGCCTCTGGTCTCAGTCTCCTAGGGATTTGGGTTCTGGAATTTGGATTAATTAAATTGCACAGTGAAGAAGCAAAGATACAGCACACAATGAAATATACTTATTTCATTTATATGAAAGCTGTAGCAGAGTTTTTAAAACTTAGTCTTTCATAGTACAGTAGTATCAAGTGCTGTTCTGTAGTTAAAAATAACAAAATCCTGATGAGCTGAGACCTCCTTCCAGTTCTGTTTTCATCTTGGCAGAGAAGTGTGAAGAAGTGTTGTTTATAATATGTAGATGACAAGGTTTGGGTTTCACAGATAAGCAAAGTGTGAACTCTTAAAGGTTAACTCTGTACGCACATATTAGAAATTGGCCCAAGTCATAAAGTTTACATCTGTTACAGGATCTAAATACAAATTTCACTAAAGCTCAGAAATATTCAAATGTGATGATCATATGCATAGTTAACAGATCTGTGCCTCTAAGCAGTAATTTGGCTGTGAGTCTGGAAAATTCCAATAGTTTGGAGGATTAATGTCTTTTACCCTGGCAAGCATTTGAAAACATGATTTAGTTCAACATGCAAATGCACATCTCAGATTATATATTAATCATGATCATGTATAGTTTATCCTTTTTATCCCTTTCACAGTTGAAAATGATATTAAATAAGATACATACCAATTCCAGCTTGACCTACAATCCAGGATAGTCGAATAAAGAGCATCACACCCCAAATATTAAGCATGCATCTTACCTAGGTTTTAAAGAAAAATTACTGCATTAGTTCAGTGTTGAAAGTAATGTTTAAAATCAAGAAGGTGGTAAAGTCCACTTCACCCCAAACATCCCTGAAGTCTGTCTCCCTCTTGTAATTCTTCAAAGACTTAAGTGTAACAGAACTGATTTTATTTTCTTTTAATGATTTTTTTAGAAATACAGGTAAGTTTCTCACCAGCACACCCTTCACCCAACCAAACTTGACAAATCCTGTTTTGTTTTCTTCTTCCTTGCTGACTGCTGTCTCATCTCCAGTGGTGCTTTCTCCATTTACCACTCTCTCAACTGAGCCGGTGCTCACGGCAATGTTCTGGAAGATCACACAGAAGACAAATACATTTTTTGTGCCAGGCAGAGGACACCTGGCTGCATGAGGGAGACATAATAGAAAAGAATTCAAAAGATCAGGAATCTTATTCAGAATGTTACAGTCACTGCAGCTGAGAGCAATATTTTGCTTACACCAGGCATCACTGGGTGGGCTTGTTAACAAGGGAAGGAGATGAAAGAATCACTTAAGCAAAGTAAATACATTATTACCTGATCTGATACAAACCCATTTTAATTATATTTATTTATATTCTATTTCTGATATATATAATATTTATTTATAGTATATATTTATTATATTTATAGCTGGTTTATTACACATATATGTTGTGTTGACATGTTAGTAGAGCAGCTAAGACAATGAGGGTCTTGTGGTTGGTCTCTGTGTGCTCTTCCAACAATTTATGCATAATGCTAAGTTTAGAAACAGGGATAATTGCAAACAGTGAAAAGAGACCTAACTGAGTGCTGCATGGTTAAATTCTGTGATGAAATCTAGTGTTTCCTATTGAATGAAGTACAAATATAGCTGCAGCAGCAGATGGGTAACATATTCCTGAAAACAATTAGAGATATGACAGTGAAATATAGAAATAGAATAATCTGTTCTGTGGCTTAGCCACCACTGGTGTTACCATAGTAGATATGATTAGGAATTGCCATATTTGTGGTGTAACCAGAGTAAGTAGCCCAGAATTTTAGATTATTCACATCAGTTACAGATAAAAATGTGTATTTTATCTCTTCAGCTCTCTTGCCCCATAATCTTTGAGGCAATTTAGCCCCAATATGTTTCTTGTGGTTTGAATGGGAATCAGTCATGGTGCTGAGACTTATACTCATTGTAATTGTCATAATTTAATTGTATTTTTGTTTTTGTTTTTTTTTTATTCAGAGCTCTCACTGTTTCTGTGAGGAACTGGCAGTAGGTTAGAAATTGCCTGATTTTTCTGGGTCCTCCTCAAAGGCCTTCAGAAAGGACCCTAAACATTGCCATAGTCTGGCAGAGAGTCAGGAGTGGGTACCGCTCCTCGAGAGGAATCAAGATGTTTTTAGGCTTTGGAGGGTGATGAAGATATTTCCAGATTAACTAAGCAGGTCAAGGAGGAAAGACATCTGTGATTCTGTGAAACATGAGATTTTAAATCTTGGTTAACTTTAAGGTTGTCTCTATATTTTGTCCATGAATTACCCTGAAATAATAATGTCTATGTTTGCTAAAAATAGCCAACACACAAACCCAAAACAGACATAAAGACCAACTGTATATACCTCTTCTACTAATGTTTGGACTTGCCTCTCAAGGATGGGGCTCTAGCCAAAATGATGTGAAGTTTTAGAATGCCTTTGACACAGTAAATCCTGGACTGTGCTCACAAATGAAAAATAAGTGACTGGATAATATGTTTTGACATGGGCTAAACTTGGTGCCATGGCCCAAAGAAAAGTAGGAATACAAGATCTGTTGAAAGCCTGTGACTTTGAGCTCCTTTGAGATACTTAGATAATTTTAACAGTTCTTACCCTGAAATAATAATGTCTGTGTTTGCTAAAAATACAGTAAATGATTGAAGTCAATGAAGGAAGATCAGCAGAATAATATGACAGGCTTTTGCTACAGTGGTTAGAATTTCAAAGACAAAAAAATTAAAAGGGTTTGGTCTTTGTACTTGAAACAAGTTGTTTCCTCTGTACTCTGAATTAATTTGTGCTCTCCATGCTATTATCATAAATTATGGCCTTAAACCTTCCATAAATGCATTTTAAATTGGTGTGCTTTAGTGAATGATTGGTTATTTACCAAGCAGCTGTACCTGTGCTACTCATGCATTAAGGATGTGGAATAAAAGTGACAGAACATTTTGAAAAGCTACTAAAATAAAAAGTTAACTGCATTAAAAAAACCACCCAAAAAAGAAACTAACCCAAACATTTTCCATTCCTTGTTTCAGAATGGTTTAATCTTCATCTTTCCTGGGGCTAAAGATGATGAGCTCATCAAATTTCCAGAACAAGTGTGGAGAATAGCCAAGAGGAAGAAAGGTTAGATTATTTCTTGTGTAGGGTAAATATTAAGCCCAAGTAATTATCACCAGCCATCAGCTGTGAAATAGCAGTTAGACTATTTTTTAGTGATTTAATTGGCTTAATGTGTGCAAAAGCTGACACATATTGCTAAAAGATGACATACATTTGACTCCAGCAGTGTGGAAACTAGATATTTGAAGTTCCTTCCAGCTTTTCTTACATTCTGACATTTGAAAAATTACATATTAAAAAAATGTATTAAATATTAATATTTCTCTTCTGATGTTAAGCCCAGCATCAAAGCACAATGGGAATGCTTATGTGATGTTTAGCAATCTGAAGTCAAACATATGCCACTTCTTATCAGAATCTTGCAATGGGCTCTGACAGAGCAGTTGTCTTCAAAAACTTGAGTTTCAAATTGGGGGTGAGGGGGGTGGGATTGCCTTGGGGTATGGTGTGGTAAACCCAGTGGTTAAGTAAAAAATGAATAAAGCATCTGCTTCAGAAGTGCACCTTGGGCTATTACTGTAACTCCTGTCCATGCTCAGTGTGGCATCTCCTCCCCTCCTTGCCAGGGGCTGGAGCCCCATCCAGCGCACGTACAGCCTGTGCCTCCTGAGAGGAGCTCTGCCTTTTCACACATCTCAATTCCCTTCCCTAACAAGCTCCTATTTGGTGACCTCGTGTTTGTTTATTCTTCAGCAAAAGCTCTGCGGATCGAAGTGATTTGTCCAAGGTCACCAAGTGAGATCATGGGACAGCCAGGAATGGGCTCCAGCCATGCTAATGGGGCATCATTTGTTCCAGAGCTGTGGTTGTGCTCCCAGACTGGGGCCACAACCCACATAAGGGCACAGCAGGTTGCCAGTGTAACAAAAATCCCATTACCTATGACATTCACCTTCCTATTTTGAAAGGCATAAGATTATTTTTCTGTAAGATGGATACTGGATACTGGAAAAAGTCTGGAAATCTCTGAGTTAGATTATGCTCTTTTCTCTTTTTTCTAACAGTCCCAACAAGTGAAAAAAAATCTCTCTTCATTTTATTCCATGATGTAATCTGCCTTATTTTTAATCATCTTTAAGCGAAAGCCTTAAAAAACCCCTAAAATTAAAATTACCTAATTTTGTTTAAGACATACAAATCACTGAGAGATACAACAGTAAAACCCCCAGAATTTTCTGGTTGCCATCAAAACTGAAAATTCTTTAATAAACTGATGTTCAGTACATGTTCATTCAGCATTATGTTCAAAGCCAATATATGATTTTACTCCTACCTGGCCACTACTGAAGTAAATTATTTCTACAAGAGGAAATTTATTCTGGGCATGGAAATGTGTTTAGTCATTTGAGTAGCAGTTTGTACATCTGCAAATGAGTAGGGGTACTAAATTAGTATGTTTCCCTTTTCCTATTTGCTTTGTTATCTTTGGAAACATTTCTCCTTTTAAGCCATTTTACACAGGTCTGTGGAGAGTTTAATTTGAGTAAGTCAGGCCAAAACTTTTTAGATCTTTAGGATCTAAAAAGATCCTAAAGAATCAGGTCCTGATTTACTAATGGTTATATTTTTTCTTGATTTAATTACTTTACATTAACCATCTGTAGGAAAGAGGAATCTCCAGAGAACAGAAGTCTGAACAAGATCTGGACCAGCATTCAAAAATCAGAAGCTTGTTCAAATTATTCAGACTTCAGAAGTATGAAAAACTGAGTAGAATGGGGATGAGAGCCTGTTTTCTCTCAAGTTTTCTCATTTCACAATTGTCTAACTCTAAAAAAAGAAAGAACAGGATTTTTTGCTGCATACTGACATTTTCAGTCTCAGTTTAACTATAGCAATGATATTTCTCTTTCCAGCCCTGTCCTGATAAGTGCACAATTAACCTCAAATTTGTTCACTGAATGAGCACCTGAAAAGGGTTGTCTGCTACCCCTGAACATCCTTGTTCTTGGTTCTTTCTTGCTGTATGGTAGTGCTCTGGATATCTGATTAACTGAAATTGCATTTTTTTCACATAATATGTTTTATAATACTTATATTTGTTAATGAGTTCAATGGAGGAATCTGTCGATATTAGTTATGCATTGATGTAAAATTCAAGTGTAGAATAAGTGTGAATTGTGTAGCTTGGTTAAATTATGAATTGACATTCACCATCTGCCATCCTAACTCTTATGTGAAACAGAAGAGATTTGGTAGATCCATACTTTTAGACAAGATTATGCTATGTTTTTCTGCTTATCAAGTAAGTTACAATTACCTTTTAATAAAAATCTTTGAGCAGGGTACAGAGCAGAGAACAAACTTCAGCTACCAAAGGAAATATGGTAAGTAGTTACTTGTACTTCTTCTCTTGGGCAAGGTCCATGAATTTAAGGACTTTCTCTTATTAATAAACAGAATTAACAGTCTGGAAATGGAATAGAGAAAAATGTTATCTTTCCTTTTCACTTACCTTTGCCAGTTGTTCATGAATTTCTAATAAGCTTGGTCTGTTGAGCTTATTCCCACTGACGCTGCCAGTGTTTCTATAATAATCAATTTTGGGAACTGGGTCCATTGTGTTATGGCCAAAAGTTTGTAGATAATACATTTTACTGTGAGTATCATAGGGATGTAGGCTAGCTTCTGTTTTCTCCCCATTTTGACAGAAATTGTCATATAATTCTCTTTTTCCTGGTCTGTAACTGATTCTTAGTCTGTTATGTGTTTCATCAGTAAAAGATGTTTCTTCATAATGTGGTGGGTCAGAGCCCACATCCTCTTGGGTTGTTTCATTGTTGTCATGGTCTTCATTAATTATGTTAACTTGAAACCGATTTGCATTTGGATCCAAGAATACATTTGGTGCATTGTTCATTGACATCTTCAGGGATGCTACAGACTTAGGTCACTGATCCGTGTACTCTTCTGTGGCTGCAGCCACTCAGTTGCAGATACAGCAAAGGTTTTAGTGCTGTTGCATATCAGATCTTTGCTTCTCAAAGAATCAAGGGCTGAAAATTTTCTCTTGAATCTCTAAGCAGTTTTCCTGATGTTGGTTGCCAGTTTTCTGCTATAAAAGATATAAATAAACTATTTCTATTATCTTGCATGGTTAGATAAGTTTTCTACCACAAGCTCTACCCTCTCCCCTGCTTCACCAAGTATGCATGAGACTATCATCCTAGGACATAAAAAATTGAGTAAAAACATAGTTAAAGCAAAGACAGAGCTTGTGGAGATTTTCCATCTGTGATGGATGCACTTTGCCTTCTAACCAAACCAGCAGTATTTTGGTACAAGCTCCAGAGGAGGAAAAGGCCTGGGCTGTAAATGGACCAAAAACTCCTCCAGTTTTAATCTGTTTATGAAAACCCACAAAAGAGCAGGGTGACATGGTAAGCATCCATGTACACAAGCTTGGAACATGATCATGTAATTAACACATGGACAGCATGGGGCTCACTCCTCTGTAGCCTGCTCCCCCAGTCCCTTCCAGGAATTGCTCCCTGTATGGGGCAGATGTTAAATCTGTTTGAGGTACAGGATTTGCATTTGTCCTTGTTGAATGTCATGAGATTCCTGCTGGCTCATTCCTCTGGCCTGTCTAGGTCCCCCTGAGTGGCAGCCCATAGAGATGTGAGCACACAGCTGTGTACTCTGCTTCTCACCTCCTCTTTCCCACATAGATTTCCTCAAAGAAAACAAACAAGCAATCAAAAACTCCAAGAGAGGAAGGGGTACTTATATTTAAGGCCTTTAGGTATTAAGTACCTTTGCAGCAATTTAAAGTATGGCTTAGAAAGCCCTGAAATGAGCTAGTGAAATGATGGCAATTGTGTGTCTGGAAACATATTGCTAAGGAGATTAGGGAGTGTGGTTGTATAGACCTGTGCAATTCAGTAGGAGCCCGGTTTGTTCAAAGGCACTAAACCTGAGCATGCTTAGACATCGAAACTCTGTAAGCATTTGTAAAAGCAGAAAGTTTTAGAAACAGAACATATCTTATAAACAAATATATGACTTGAAAATCTGGATAAATAAGCCCATTACAGATATTTTTAAAAGTTCCATATTTTCGCAAGAGGTTGGACTAGATGAACTCCTAAGATTTCTTCAATTTAAATTTATCAAAGATTTTGTGAAATGCATTTGGCCTTTTGGCACTGAAAGATAAAATGTGACATCAATATTTATAGCTCAGTAATGTAAATTTTCTCCAAAATCACATATCCAAATTACAATTTGAAGAGCTGATAATCTGATGTCCTCCATCTTTAGTATGAGACACAGCTAAAGCATATTTTCTTATTTCTTCTATCAGCTACAGGTAATCTGCTGTCACCTCTCTGCTAAGACACCATTTTGTCACCCCCCATATTTATGTTCGTTTTCCTGCCTAATGTTGTGTAAGCCTCACAGCAACATATTACATTTATTTAGTTTATTTTACTTCTACTGGCTTTGTATTTTTATTATTATTATTATTATTATTATTATCATTATTATTATTATCATCATCATCATCATCATCATCATCTTCATCATCATTATCATTATCCTTATTGTTATTACTGCTACTACTACTACACATTTATGATCACAGTATTCTCCTTCCTTCAGCCTGTTAAAGTTGTAAGGAAGTGTTTCATCTTCAGGCATGAAGGAGCAAAAACAAATCTGTCATTGAGGTCAGTGAAACTGTTTTTGTTTCCATCTCCATGGCAGAATGAAATCCTCATTCTTTGATGACAATGAAACTTTTGCTACCAAGTAAAATGATTCTGTCATTTCACTGTCTTATTTTCATATTAGTGTTTTGCTAGGAAAAGTAAAGGCTCTTACCTTTCTGCTGTTCTTGAAAATAATACTTTGGTTTTCACAACATATTTCCAGAGATCTCTGAACTGTTATTTGCTATTAACTTTGTGTGTAGTTTCCTAGCATTATGCATAAATCATCAAGTTTACCTTATTCAGGGTAATTTAACTTACCATTCAATCCTGTGTTTTTAGGGAAGGACAATCTGCCTCTTTTTATACAGACATATAGTGTGACCCTCTCTTTGAGGCATTACAGACTCTGCCTTATTGGCCAGATTTTTCTCCTATTTAATATACTGCATAAACCATCCAATCCCATTCTTTCAAAACATTTCTAGATGATGGTTTAGAAAGGCATTCTAGCTTGTTAACTTTTAACCAGCAAATGTACCTATCCATTACAATTACTGGGTTTATGGCATTGCGAAATTTCTAAGGGGCCTGAAAATACTTTTGTTATCTCCATTTCCCTCCCAGCTATGCCTGATTCTGCACAGATCATATTCTCTCTATCTCTCAGTTCTGCATATATAGTCATCCAGATAAGGAGAGTTCAGGACAGGATCTGTGCAGTGCATTTTATGCAGAAGATTCCAAGTCAGTGGGATCATTCTTTGGGGGGTCCTCTTGTCCTACATGCTGTTTTAAAGCATTTACTCCTGACCTATTTAGTTTTACTCTGTATATTTAAGAAGCCTTTGAAAAATTATGTTCTCTGTATTGTTTCTGGGGAGGCTGACTTCCTAGTTTCTTTGGGATGAAGAAAAGAGCAGGCAGGAAGTGATGAAGCTTTGTAATTAGAAGGGAATTAGATAATAGCTTCCAGCAATAGATTGGGTCAAGAACAAAAATAATAAGACAATATTGGGGTTCAGATGGACATGTTTGCAGTGTTTGCTGTGTAGTTTAGAGAGAAAAGAACTGTATTTAACCCAGATAACTTAAGTACCTTCAGCACTCTAACCTGACAGCCCAGAGCTCAGCTCAGATGTACATAAGTGGATGATCCTATCCACCACTAACAGATCACATGAATCATTGTACTGATATCTACCTTGAATTTTATGGCTAAATTAACTAGGATAAATGCAATATATTGAATCTCTGAGGGTCTGGAATTTTTTCTTATGTATAATCTGAAGCAGCTGAAAGCCCTTATATTCACAAAATTGTTTATGTTTTATAATTTAAATGGACCAGTATAGATTAATATTGGCTGTTCCTCTCTTGTATTTTTCAGACAAGAGATTCATGTCTTTTGCTGTACAATCATGTATTTTATGTTCCAAATGGCATCTGAGGTCTGCTGTTCCAATGTCTGTGTCTGCCTAGTATATAGGGCAAACGGAATAACACATATTTTCCAGAATACATGAAAAAGAAAACAACTGCTGTAACTGATCTCCTTGTCTTAGCTCCTCATTACAAACAGATCTGTTTAGCAAAAGTGACAGTGCCTAAAATTCTAATGCCAGCCTTCTTAAAAACGGAATTGAATTTCTGTCAAGTACTGTCACACTTGCTAAACAGCTGTGTGTATGAGGGTGACCTTGAATATCCAGATTTGAGTCTCTGCTTTCGCTCTTTCACTTCTGCTTTGATAGGATCTCCCATGACCAGTTCATCAGTGACAGTCCAGATCATACACTGTGCACAACTGCAGGAGCACAAACAGAACCAGCTGTGGAGAGTGCTGGAGAGTAGAGCTCTGGACCCCATTCCTCCTTGGAGGTTGGGTAAAAATGGGTAAGCAGCATGATTGTGTCTGTTTTGGCCTTGACAGGCTGGTGTAATTACTGCTGGGAGCTGTTAACCAGTTTAAGTTCCACTTTAAAGTGAATCATCTTCTGTAACCAAGTGGAATAAAGACATGGACACACAGCTCCTGCAGACACCTCCTCTAAGCCATAACCATTTGTCGTCCTCCACTCTTGTATCCTCAGTGTACAAGGACAGACACTGAGTTTCAGAAAATTGTGTTGGATGAGGAGGGCAGGGGGCTACCACATAAATATTCGCCATTCATGAGCCTGTCTTTTTCTTCAGCCTGTCATGAGACACGGTAGACATGAGATCCTCCTCTGAAGTGCCAGGTATCATCTGATCCTTAAAATACTGGCCACGGTAACTTTCTAGTGATTTGTTGTGTGTTTGTTTTCTGTTAGCCATTTCTTATCTACCATTCCACTGTTCATCAAATAAAAGCAACATGAAGTACCTTTTGAGTTTGCAACAAATATTTATTTAACAAAATGGATGCCACCAACATATCTCCAAAATGCAGGTATGTATAACAAATGTAACAACAGTTGGTTTCCAAAATGAAATCAACATCAAATTTAAGGCAGGATATTCTGTGAGTTTTCATGCAAGAGCATATTCAAATGTTCCTTTATCCAGCCCCTCAACTTCATCTTCCCACGTGGAAGAAGGCATACTGCTGTAGGGGTCTAGCAAGATTTTGAAGCATCTGATAATTAAAAGTCCCAAGAAAACACACAAAATCCCCACAAAGGCAAAGCCAGTTTTTTGTTCTAAGGTCAGGGGGAAGGCAGACATTTCGTTGACACTCATGCTGGCTGAAGTGTTGCTGCAGTAATTACTGCTCATCATTGGGCATCACATCCTGGTGGCTCTGTGGGAGTTTCACCTCTATTGCTTCTTTGCCTGCATAGAAACGTCAAATCAGTGTGGTTAGCTCTAAATGGGGTGCATGTATCTGAGCTGTAGCATATGAACATTTGAAAATTAAAACCAGCTTCGATTTTAGAAGCGTCCTGTTGTTTTTTCACGTTTAAATTAACATGATAAAATTGCAATTATTAGCCTCTACACACCATTTACTTACTGGCCTCTTTTTTGAGACAGCAGATTCACAATTTTCTGGCTTTCTGTCTCCTCAAAACAGAGATTTCAATCTACAGATTGTGATTTGGCAATATTCTCTAAGGTCTCCACATGCAGAAACCTGGTATGTTTCCTGAAATGGCTTTACATCTCTGTGCTTAAACTAGCTAAGTTTGCATTGACTTCAAAGGCAATTTCAACTAAATAATGTGGATATTACTCATTTGATTTAGCTCAGAGTCTACATAAATAGATCCAACTATAATCCAAAATAAAAGACTGTGTGTGCAATTTTAGTGAAGTCTTGGGCTCCAGTTTCAGAAAAAAATGCCATGTGTATTTTGAGACTGTAAGAAAGTGAGCAGATTGCTAAAATTACCCCTTCACCTTTCTCTACACGTCTACTCTTGTGTATGAGCAAAGATTGTGGAAGGTGGAAGAAGAGATAACAGAATTAAATTCCCTTCTCCTAAATCTTGCTCTCATTTGTTTCTTCTCCTTTGTCTTCCCTATACATGCCCTGACATTTTTACAGGCACACTAAACAGATCTGCCCGTGCTCTCGCGTTGCTCAGGGGACTGACCCTGACGTGTGTCCTAGGGAAGCAGGATGCTCAAGCAACTCCACCAGGAGAGCTCTGCATGTTTCCAGAAAGGAGAAACTTCTTATATTTGTCTTTTTAAGGAGATCTTACCTATAGATTTTTGTTCGGGGTGGGGATAATTTGCTTTATTTTAGGTTTTCCTTCAGATATTGGAATCACTTCTTTCTTTTGTATCTATAGACAGTGGGAGAATTGGAAGGCTGGGACATCAAAAGTGCCAAAGGACAAAGATACTTTTTTCTAAGGTTAGAACTTGAGGTTTTCTGGCTCTTGCTAACACCTATTTAACGAATGTGCCTCAGGGGAAACTCTTTTTGTTAACAATTCAACCTCTTTTTCCCCAGGGAATTGCCAGTATCCATTTATTTCTTGGCAGATTAATTAGGCCACTCAGAGTTTTGTGCTACCATGGCTACACTGCTTCAGGTACCTGCACTGCTAAGCCAGGTTAAAGAGAGTTCCAGTATCTCTGCTCTGTACTGCAGCCATGGCTGAGAGGGGCCATACTCTGAGTCAGCCTACAAGCAAAAACAGCAGAAAAAGTAAAAATAACTTTTGGTATTCCTGAGCAGTCACAAATGGACAGAACTTTTATCTCGTTTGGTATGTCCTTTCTTTCTTCAAAGTTTGTGGGGTTTTTGACTATTATCCTAAAGAACAAAAATTTTAGAACAAAGATCAAAAGGGCAAAACACAAGTATTTCCCTTTTTTGCAATAAACCTCAGTATAACAATATTAAATAATGGTTCCTGTTAGTCTTTACACATTTTCCAGAGCATAACAAGTGCTGGTCTGTTTATTCTATAGACCTGTATATGAGATCCTTCCTTGCTTTGAATTATGTTCTGCTCTTTGGGTCATGCTGTTATAATTCCTGTTAAGCTGGAAGAAAGATCCAGATACAGCCTATAGGAATTAGAAATAATGTCAACAACAAGCAAGATTTATTTTCTGAAAATACATCATAGGTAAAGCCCACCTGCTATATGGATTTTCATTGGGCATACCTCCAATTTTTCTATTAAGTTTGACCTTCTGCAGGAAAAAAAAAAATTACAGAAAGTTCAATATCACAAATTTATGTTAGAAGTCAGTTGATTTGAGCAAGATCCAGTCAAGGAAAAACACATACTTTCCAAAAGTCCTAGAGTACTGGGTTATAAAAATTATAAACAAGGCTTATAAAGGAAAATGATACATAATCACTACATGGAAAAGCCAGACCTAAAAAACCCAGTTTCCCTCTTGAAAGACATTGAGAAGAATCTTAGGGGTAGGCTGGCCATGGAGAGCCCTGAATTTGAGCTGAGTCCAGACAAATATGTTTACATTTGACATAACATTTCTTTACCACAGAGAGTAATTTTCCAAGAATATGACTTCCAGTCTTACTAATTTTGCAGCTTATACACTGGAATTAGATGGGATTTGTTTGTACATTATGTGCTTGTCAGGAGACATTATGGGACAAATGTCTGTGCAAAGCTTGATTGATGCTGAAACGTGGAGAAATTGACATCTTAGTCTTATTTAACAAAAGTTTGCATGATAAAGCTGCATGAGAAAACTGTGTATTTTGCCTGGGGGAGATTGGTTCTAATGTGCAGATTTGTGTTCTTCTGCTCCTTGTCCTGAATTTCAGAAATTGTAATTGAAGCCTTAAAGTTCACAGGAAATTTTGTTCTAATTATGTATCCCCAAACCCGTGGCACCTTGAATACCTTTTATTGCTTTCACATTTCAGTGCTGCACACAGGTTAGATGTCCTCTCCCAGTTAGTCAGATACCTTTTCATTTGCTGCAGTGTATCTGTCAAAGTCCTGAGTCAGAAGACTGTGAATGCTAACTAACCTGGCCAGGATCCCAAAATCCTCAAAGACAGCCTTTAGGACAGCATCATGGGGACAGGCATTGTATGATTTATATTCTGCAGAGCCATTTTGTGGGGGCTGGCCCCAGACAGAGCTCAATCTTTTTTCTACAGGTCAGGATTCTTCTCCTTTGATTTGTTACTCATATAAACACTGGCAAAAAGAAAGGCTCCTTAACATCACACTGCAAAATAAAAGGCCACTGGAAGTCCTTCTGAGGCCTGAAGAAACAGAGTCCTAAGGAAAATAGGAATGAGGAAAATGGCTTCATACTGAGCTAAATAAAACAGATAGGAGCTGGGTGTGCTGGCTGCACCTATGGGAGGATGAAGGGGAACACCATGGGTACCAGGTATTGTGAGGCTGCTGGAAGGAAGATGTCAAAATTCTTATTCTAGAACCACCAGCCCAACACTGTCAGTGTTTGGTGTGGATTGAAGATCCCAGACCCAGCTGTTTGGTGGTTTGGGGTGACAAATGGGTGTCATTTTTTTCAGGCTTAGCCTTTACTCTTAGGTTTACAGAGAGACTTAAGAAGATCAAGAAAGTAACCAGGATGATCTTCCTGGTGTTCTTGGCTTCAGTCCTTCTCTCACAGAACCCACTACAGGATTTTTTTCTAATGGCTCAATACTTAGGGAATTACTATTTTTACACGATCTCAAACTGGGAGCATTCATCCTCTTGGCATAACTAAGTCTCAGGTGCCTAAAAACTCACTTCCAAAATGACAGTTTGTAACAAAATTGACCACATCAGTGGCCATCTGTTCTCTTCTTGGATGTCTGCAGCCCAGCTGCTGGTTCATGGACGTGGTCATTCTGAAAGTACTTTGAATAGCTTCAGTCCTGAGCTTGTGCTTGAGTAACAGCAAACCTAACTTGGAAAGGGACATATTAAAAGGCATTCTCTGGGAGCTTTAAAAGCACCTCATTTGCCTTTAACTATCTGTTCAGGGAAACAAAACTGTGTTCCAGAAATGCTATTACAGAAATTGGTCATAGAAAGTGGTAAGATGAAAAGATTAGCAATCTATAAAATAGGCTAGAAATAGAAATCAGCATGAATATGGAATTCTCTGAAGAGTCTCAGCTACCTGAGTTAACGACACATGGCCAGAAATGCTGCAAAAGGAGCACCACGACCACACAGCTGACCTGTCATACTTATATGCTCACTGCATGCCTGTATTCTCTAAATTGCTTCAGGGTATAGGTCCTAAGACATTCAGGGAGGTGAAGGCAGGAAGGCCAGGACATAGATGCTCAGCAAATGAAGGCATGGCTCACAGCTCTGCAAAGAGAGCCCCACACAGTATTTTTGCAGCATGGTAACTCAGGGTGCAAACAACACTTTTCCACATAAACAGCATTCCCCTGCAAAGAAGCAGCAGCCGAACAGTGACACTTCCAGCCTTCCAACAAGGAATGAATTGCAAAAATAAGATTTTATCTGTAGCAAATAGATGAGCCTGGAGTCTTCATTGGATGAGAGCTTCTGTGTTGTGAATTCATATACGTAGTCTAGATTTGGATAATATAGAGATGCAGGAAAATAAAACGTTCACTAGCATCATTCTTAACTTGGGAATGTGGAAAAGTGTTGCCTGCTTCCCAGGGGATGGAGGCTGACAGAGACCGAGCACCTGCAAAGCAATTGTTGCTGTAGGATGGCGCGCCCAGCCTTCGCTTCCACCGGTCTCGTTACCCCGGAGAAGGCAGATTTCGGCGCTTACCCTGCCCTGCTCCCCCCGCCGCCCGGTGCCTCCC